CAAGGTTTTTCGCACAAGGGGCAATAATTTTCAAAGGGATTAAGCTTAGGTGATAAGATTGAAATATTTGAAATAGTTTTAAGAGCACATCTAAAAGATGCAAAGATATACAGTATATGTTGAAAGATAAAAGAGCTATAACAAGAGCTTAATTTCTCAAATTTGGAATGACTTTGACCTTTGACCTTGACATAAACTTCAATGTCCAAGGTCAAGGAATCTAATGCAGTTCGTTTCATGACTCTGCGACTTATCGTTACGAAAATTTTCCATAATTTGTAAATTTCAAAAATTTTCAGGGGCAATAACTACTTAAAGGGGTTGATGAATCCTTCCGCACTCAAAAGGTCAGAGCGCCTACTGACTTAGTCGAAGATATTGGTGATGGATTAGTATCTCTATGGTTTACGGTTTTTGAGGAGTAGAGATAACAAGCTTTTATTGAGAAAGGGGCAATAACTCTTGGAGGGGTCAAAGATCATATACACAGGGTCAACTGCAAAAATCTTTCATGGAGTACATTCTCATGGACTATAAATCTTTTAGATAAATCTTTAAACTCAAAAACATACTTGGCGGAAAAATAATAATAATAAACAGAACAATTTCAATAGGTCTTTCCACAGAAAGGTGGAAAGACCTAATAAAAATAAGAAACAGAAGAAAATCAATAGGTCTTTCCACAGAAAGGTGGAAAGACCTAATAATAAACATAAGCATTTCAAGAGGTCTTTCCACAGAAAGGTGGAAAGACCTAATATATAATAATAATAAGAAACAGAGTAAAAACAATATGTTCCCAAACACATAATTACACAGATTTATCCTATTTAAATGAAATAATTCAATGTCTGATGTAAAGAGGCGGCGCAACCTCAAAATTTGCTATTAAAAATCGGTATATAAAATGTAAAATCTCGCAAAAAATAAATTTCTTGTCAAAATTTCGTGGGATAAAAATAATAGTTTCTCAAATTACATAAACAACTATCTTTATTCCAATTTTAACGCATATGCCTTCATTAATAAGAATGTTATAATGTTTATTTGCACTGGTTAGACTCTTGACTGTTTAAAAAAAATGACGCAGCATTGACATAGGCGGCGCAATGGAATATGATAAAATGTAGATCGGAACTTTAAAAGAGGTGCATCAGAAGAAACAAATGTTTGGAACACATAGATATATTCAAGTATGTTTTTCTCAAGGTATATATGGAAAACGAAGCAAACAAAGAGACCAGCCGAAGAAAATAGACAAAGAAATCGTCGTCAAAGCTACACAGTGCAACCCCATTCGGAAAGACGAACAAAAAGTTCCTCGGAGATAAGGAGATTTTTATGAATTATTAATAGATGCATACAGTTTAAACTTTTTGGCGTATATTTTAATGTTAAGTACATCATAACGATTATAATATTTCATATTTATTTCACAAATCTTTATGTTAATTAAAGTAGAAAATGTGATTCTGATAATTGATGCATTTTCCCCAAAAATTCGTACCGGTGACGTTTACGTATTTTTTGACGTCGAAGATTGCGCTGGGTGATAGGACGCGGTAAAATTAAAAGTCCAATTAAATGTACGTTTTTCAAGTAATGATGTTAAAACTTCGTAATTTATCAGCTAAAAACACACTTTATACACCCACAAAATTATATAAAGATACCTAGATTTTGAATAGATATGAACTCAGTTTATGGAATTTTGGGACAACCCTCGTATATATTATGATATTCACATCATATGTTACATAATTAGGGGCTATAAGGGGCCAGAATGTAAAATCTTTGGCGCTTCATATCTTAAAAGTGGGAATTATTTTGATAAGCAATACTGAACAAAAGATGTTCAGAATAATTTTCTAAACAATATTCAACCTTTCATTTTTTGCTAAACGTCCCCATTAAGGAGTTGAAGGGCTGCCCCCTAAATACTTCTTTTGTAAATATCTTTGAAATGAAAAAGAATTTTTGAACAATTTTTGAATAAAAAGTGCTCAAAATCATGAGAGCTTTAAAGTGGTGTGAAGAAAAAGGGGCTGGCTCCTCATAATAGGGACCGAGAGGGGCCGAAAGTCTTTAAGCAATAACTCTTTTCGATCAAAATTTTGTAATTCATTACTGAAGGAAATATGTTTATTTCAACAATTTTCAACTACATGTATATATTACATGCATGATATTCACATCACATGTTACATAATTAGGGGCCATAGGGAGAGTTGCGCCCCTTGACAGAGGCGGTTGGCTCGAAATCTACTGGGGAAAATATGTAAAAAAAAAAAATATCCATAAGTCGAGGGAGAATTGTGAAAAAAAGATATTGGAAGACTACAGGAGGGATATTAAACAAATATATTAATAGAGATCATGCTTTGCTAGGAAAAAAACTCAAATAGACGTGAGTAACTCGAAAAAACTTTGACACTCTTTCTATTGATGATTACTCACGCTCTCCTGGCCAAGTCACTTTAATATATGTTCATTTTATATGCGCTATATCTGTGTTAGTTATCAATATATATGTTCATCAGTACTGAACAGTCGTAGAACGAAAAACTTTTTCAGTAACACTGATTAATATTGTCTACACAAGATTCCTTTTGTTTCTTTTGTTCTGTGTATAAACTGTGTATAAACATTTGGGTAAACAAAAATGTCAGAGAAAGGAGACAACAAGAGAAACTTAAGTGACATGTCGAAATCATTCTCGGATGTCATGAGGTCACCTAAAAAAACAGAGGGATGGGTCGGTGTCTGATCCGTCTCACATAACCACCTCCAACACTTTGAAAGAATTGGATCCCAAAGAATTTCCACCCATTCCTTCCATGACCAACCCACAAATAACACACCAAGTGGTAATTGGAGAAGATGACATAGCACGTATTGCTACTGCTGTAAAGTTATCCATTCAGGGTGAAATTGCTGAGCTGGTGAGTAAAGAAGTAGCAAAAGCGGTCCAGCCTCTTCAAGAAAAAATCGCAAGGCTCGAATTATCTAATAATGACCTACAACTACAAATAGACGAAGTAGAACAATACGGTCGTTGACCTCTCCTCAGAATTGACGCTCTGTTGACCTAAAATTTATGCTTGTGAAAAGTTATGAAAGCTTAAAAAACAACCCCGAGACGAAGCATGTGATGATCAATGAGGATCTGATCATGGTGTGTAAAGAGCAAGAGCCACTTAGGGCCTTTTTTGGCCCTAAGAATTTCTGAAAAATTAAAACTGCTAAGTTTTGGATGAAAATGCAGTATTTATAACTTGGACCCTTGGTGACCGTGTATCCAATGAACATGACTTAATTTTCTCTCTAGTCAATGCATTTTGACGTCATAAAATGCGTCATTTTCCCCATATCCTGTAAATTCCCCTAAAAATGGCCAAAAGTTGAGGTATTTTTTCAATATTTCATATAGAGCACAACCTCTGATCCAAAATATGCAATTACATAATGAAAGATCTGTTTCTGACGATTACAAAGCATGTTTTAATTTTTGGATCATGGGCTGTGCTCATATTTTAATTCTTTGCAGAAGGTAGTCAAATACCCATAATTAAATTGAAGAAACGAATAACGAAAGAAAATATCTTTTAAAATTTTCAGGTGAGCCATAGTGACTCGGGTGCATTTTGAAGTGGCCCATTGGTTTCTGTTTTATTCAAATAATAAATAATTCAAATACAAATAATAATATTCACTAAGTAGTTTTATTCCATTTTACCTGATTTATAAACATTCGATTTGATTATTTCACGTTGATTCTTCTGTATTAAGGAACGGGAAGAATTCCTGAATTATTGAATTCCCTTTTTAACTTTTATGAAGATATCTTCAAAGAAGAATACAGAAGAAATAATCACAAATAAACAATGAAGATACAACTAACTTCTCAAACTCTTTGGGGTGACCTTCGATTTTTATCACTTGATGAAAAATAAAACATTCTAAATAAAAATAAACTAGTGAACACAAATAACTGACTATGCATATGTTACAGTAAATATGTGTAATCAGGAAATCCATGTATTTCCTGAATTTTAGGAAATACATGAAATTCCTAATCTGTTTAGGAAATACATGTATTTACTGTTTTCAGTTAGGTAATACACGTATTTACTGAATTTTTCAATACTTTTTACACGTATTTACTGACTGTTGTTTTGTGAGAATGACTTAAAAATATGAATAATAAAATAAGAACAAATGCACAGTATATTCAATGTTCATGTCGGTTAGCATATCATGTGAATAAATAATATTTGAAATAGACCTTTATTAATAGAATTGTGATTTTCACCCGTGATTGAAAAGCTGTGTAAATTTCGGTATTGATAAGCTAATCCGGCAACCAATGAGAATCTAGGTCACTATTTGAGAGACGCTAATTATGTATCGCCGAGATTGTTACGCCTTACAGAAAGTTTAAGAGGAAAAGAGATTTGTACTATATTTGAAATGTGAATATCAGGGAATCCATTTTACAAAGAAATACAGGAAAAGTTATTGTCCTTAGCAATATTTTTTTAAAAAGAATAATTGATTAAATGAAGAAAATATATTTTTTTTAAAATTCATTTACTTAACAAAATTTTTCAACACACCAGGAAAGCATACTTCCAAAAGATATTTTTATTGGGTATGAATTTATATTAATAAAAGTTTCTGTAAAAACTAATGCTATTACAGGAGGATGGAAATACCTTAAGCTTTCCTCCTTAAATGCACCAAGTCTTGTCCAGAATTGGAAATTAATGTATAACGTCAGCTTTGTAGAAACAATTCTTATTAATTGCTGCTTAAAAAGCATGCATACTGGTATTTGTATACTTACTGAATGTTTTAAAGCATATGTATAGTCATCCAGCTTAGTTCAGGTAAAACGTGTAAAATTGGCTAAAATTTTCAGAAAATACATGAATTTACTAGTTATTTAGTAATTACAGGTATTTCCTAAAACGGCCAGTAAATACATATATTTACTGGATGATTTAGGAAATGCATGAAATTCCTGATTTCACATATTTACTGTAACACATATACAGTTTCAGTTGATGAATATTCCGAAATTATTTGCTTCGGTGCCTTTTTCTTCGATAAGAAACATATATCCAATGTTTTAATCGTATGAAGCAATCTGGCTATGGACATTATGATCTAAAAACGGTGGGGTTTTTGTTATTAATAACGTTTGCAGATGAAATATACAACAACAACAAAACGAATATGTATAGGAAAGCCGTAGGATAGTTTTTATTTTAATTCTTCACATCCAGACGTTCGTCATGCAGCCTCGAAAACCATCAGTATTCAAAATACATATACACTCTATATAATGGTGGAAAATCATCGTTTAGCCCTTTATTTCTTTCTGTATCTATGCTCTCAGGTAAATTACATTTCAGAAGTCTCTGATTGTAAAATTCCCGCGGCCTCTGACTTAAAATGATCATCAAATGTATCATCTACTAAATCAATATAAGGAGAAACGTTGACATAATCATTAGGTTCTTTTTCGCTCTGCACTACATCTAGATATGCTCCATCTGCATTGATAGGATCTGCATATGGCCCATCCTCATCTGTAAGACGCAGAGTTACTCCTTGCCCGGGTAAATGTTCATAACCCTCGTCTTGTTCCTCTACGATTTCATAATCGGGGTCGGAATACGTACCATCTTGATAGGTTAATTTTATTTCGTATTGGGGGTCCTTTGACTTTGGGATACTTGGGAGTCGCATTAATTCTTTCCGTCTTTTCCTCAATGTTATTGCTCTGTATGATTTTGAAAAAAAAAATGTTTATATAAATTGAGAAACAATAGTTTAAATCAGAATGATTATTCTAAAGAGTATATCAAAACTATAAACTAACTAATAGACGTGTGTTGATGTGTTGTACATTTTTATAGCTACATGTATGAATCCATACAAATAAAAGGGAAAATATAAACTTTTCAAAAAAGTTGGAAAGGTAATAACATTGTGAAAATGGAGTTGTGATAAGTCCGTCTATCATTTCTAGAAGGTTCCACTTTCAAATGTAACATATACTCTCAGAATCAATCATGTCATCTTCACTCGCAATTCTTAGAATTATAGAAATAAAAACATACACAATGTCCTACTGAATGTATGTGTTTCAATATTTCTTTTTCATTGCTTTGAACATGAAAAATATTTCATATTAAATCGAAATTTAGATTTCCATGACTATTCAGTAAACAATACATGCAAGGAAGAACACTAGTATGCACTTTGTATATTAGTTATTGTCATTTTTGTGGTTGGATACCACGTGTTTTTAAGAAATAAAGAGTAAATAAAACGATATAAAAACAAGAGTCCAATGGGCCCTAACGCTCACCTGAGTCACTTTGCCTTGTTGTTCTCCATAAGAATTTTTTTTTCAAATTTCCCTTTATTTTCATAAATATTTCTACTCCATATTGTGAACCAAAAGATAGTTTTAAGGGAGCTATGATTCACTGAAAGTTAAATCCACATCATATTATCTCCAATATCACATGATCAAAATGTTCCTGCTGTTCTGGAGACGATTTTGTTTTCAGGTACACATGCATTGTGTAAATTATGAACTTCTGATATATTCTGAACTGAACTTCAACCCTAAGCACAGGTCTTATAATAAAAACATTATATAACAAGACTTACTAGGTATGTTTTGCTAATAATGAACATAAATTTATGCTAGGAATTGAAGCTTTCACGTATTTTTTTCTGACCCTCTGGTTTTTGAGAAGAAGATGTTGAAAAGATGCCATTAAATTTTTAGTAATTCTTAATTATTTCTCCTTGAAAGAGGACATTGCCCTTCATGTCAAAAAATTGCAATCCTCTTTATCGAAAAAAGCTTCACGCCAAGTTTGGCTGAAATCGGTCCAGTGGTTCTTGAGAAGTTGAAATGTGAAAAGTTTGCAACAACAAGGACGACAGACAACGGACAAATTTATTAAAGTTCACTCGAGCCTCCGCTCGGGTTAGCTAAACAAGCTTTTAGTAAAAATTTGAAAGTCAAGAAAAAAATGATGAAGAAGAGTAAAAGTCTCAGACGAAGCCATTCTAAAAGATGCGACATCTGAACTTGTATATTTTTTTTCTTGAAATTTGATTTAATTAAATTTTGAACGAAAATTAAAGGACACAAACCTTATTTTGTATATGGTGATTGCAAAGCTTACAGCAAATATTAATGCAGCAGCAAATCCCACCGCAACTGAAACATACATGAATCGTAACAATATGGTAACATATACGAGAGTTGTTCGAAAAGTTCGTGGACAATGCCAATCTTCGTTATACTATCTTCAAGAAATTTAAAATGAGCACATTATCATATGTAAAAATATTTATTTGTTTAAGTGTGAAGTTTCATTCCATGTGATTTAATAGAATTCATGTTATTTAATTTTAAAATTAACACGTTTTGTAACCACGGAGCAAACTCAGCAATACTCTAACGTCAAAAACATACCGACATGAGGTTCTAAAAAATACTATCCCTATACATTTCTCACGGTATTGCCAAATACCAGTGCACTCATGAAAAACGTTTCTCTATCACTTGAAATCTATTTTGCTAACAATTGTTCCATTAGCATCATTTTGTGTGTCAATGTTATATTTTTTTTTTTCACTGCATAAGTGTGCTTTCATAAGATCAGCATCTGTGAAGCCCCAAACTCTTAACATGACGTTACTAACTGTTCAATGTTTTGATAAGATTTTTACAGATAGTCCGTTTTTTTTTTTTTTTTTTTTTTTTTTTTTTTTTTTTTTTTTTTACAGATCACCCTCGTCTAAGCAGAGTAGTCTATCATTCAAATACCGCTTGAACCATGTACACACACATGCATTTCTCACTTTTGACATATTTCCTACTTCCTCCGGCATTTTCAGAGGGGTTTTTTCCGGAATTTTCCGGAGTACAACACACATATTGTATGGTTAACTCCTGCTCCGTGACGTTCTTCGACGTCATCTTTTTTGCCTTTTTCAATGAGGACTACCTATCTTCTGAAACTGATTTCTTTTCAATGAAACAAAATAATAAGTCATAATTTTGAATCAGAAACGATGAAACAATTCTAAATTTGAAGATGTAGAATTTTCCGTTTTTGTTTCATTTTACAGAGGATATGACTTTAGACATTATTAAGTGTCTTGATTGTTATTTACAAAATTTTGACCTACTCCGTGATCCGATTTTCGCATTTTTTAAGTCTAAATAAGTTGGAAATAAACCATGATATCTTAAAAAAATTTAAATCACATCATTTGAATTTATTGTTGAAATATTTCTTCCAAATTTGGATATAATATTAAGTAAAAAAGTTATGACGGTAGTCCACGAACTTTCCGAACAACCCTCGTACATGTAAATAATGTGATAAATATGAAATGCTTTACAAATGCTTTGAGATAAATACTTCATTCTTTCCTTCATTTGTTTTAATCTTTTACATATTTTCTTTTTATCAATATTTTAAAGCAAAACATGTAGGGTAGGACGAAAATTAGTAGAGTTTGTGACATAATAATACAATTTCAAAATTGTATGAAAATTCAAAATATTAAAGAATGAAAAACTAAGTGTGTGATTTCATTTGTTCATTTTGAAGAGGAAATTATTTCCTTTTAGAAATCCTACCCTCGAAGCTTTATGTTAGAAAGACGATATACACTAATCAGAGTCAACTTACGAAAAATCGCTGTTTGAGAAAAATCAGAGTTTGTTTCTGGACTTCCTGCAGGCATTTTAGTATCTAGATAATAAAATAACTTTATCAAGCATACCAGTAGGTTTTCAGAGAACAACACAGAATGTCAGCAGTTGTTACGTGAAAGTACATATTGGAAATCTTTGCATTTAAACTAGTACAAAACAGGTGGGGAGAATCTTTTCCTAAAATTCACTTTTTAAAAAATTGATATTTTGTTCTATGATAAAAAATCTATTAGTGCAATATGAAGATTTAATTGCCCATACAGTTCGTAATATAGCCTATCTGACCCCTGTTGTAAGAGGTCAAAATAAGACATTCGACATTATCCAGAATGTGCATTTTTTTTTTAGAATTACAATTGGATATATTACAAATATGTGTGATGATGTTTATCAAAAATCAAATCAAAGCAACATTTTTGTTATATCGACGACATTTTATCAACTGGCAATATTCTTTTCATTCCTACTTGATTCGATGTACCCCGTTGAACTCGAAATAAAAGATACCACTGAGTCTGACACATCTGTTTCTTATTTGGATATTTTACTAGAAAAAGACGTTAATGATAACCGTCAACTTTTCTATCGCCAACTTCCCTTATTTTTGTAGTAATATACTATTATCACCTGCATATGGAGTTTATGTCTCCCAGCTGAATCCATACGTTGGAGCATGCTCTACGTATAACGATTTCTAACATGAAGCAAGCTATTGACAAATTAGTCGATGAAACAAAGATGTTAGAATTTTTTTTTAAAAGTCAGCATTTCGCAAAATGGTTGGCACAATGACTTTAAAAGCAAATACAATAGATCGTTAAGTCGAATGCTGACTGACTTTTTTCATACAAATTGTTAGGCCATTATTTTTTCATTGAATTGTTTACGGGTTTTTCCGTTTGCCCGACCATGAAAAGGTATGGCCGGTCGACAAGGTATGCTTACTCCTTCATGGCACCTGATCCCACCTCTAATGATTTTTTAGAGGTCCGTGTTTGCCCTGCTCCCAGTTTTATTGTTTCAATAAACGTTTGGACTTGATTACTATTTGTTATCTTTATTATTCATCACTAAAATTCAGTAAAATATAGTGATACGGTTATATTGGCGCACACGTAAAAATATAATTCACATGTAAATATGCTACACGTGAAGATATCTTTAAAGAAAATGTGTGATTTAAATGTTACAAAAAATCAACAGACTGATTGAAATGGAACTGCCAAAATGAGATAAAAAATTGACCATGAGGTTTCTGATATTTAGTTATTTAAAAAATTTCAAAGCCAAACATTAAAAGATTCAGTAGATAAGGTCATGATATTTGACCATTGACCACTAACTATGACCTTGGCTTTTATTGAACTTAAAGAATGAAGACTCATACATATGCGCAAATATCAGATCTCTGCTATGGAATCAAAGCACAGAACTCTTTAATAACTGATTCGCAAGTATCATGTAGATGACAAAGACATTCTGCATGTAGGCTGTAGGCTCCCGAATGTCCACTATATGGGGTTCTCTCTCTCTCTCTCTCTCTCTCTCTCTCTCTCTCTCTCTCTCTCTCTCTCAAAATTAAAGCACTTACGTGTCACATTTTTCATTAAGAGATCATTGATTATTAACAGTTTTGTCTTTTTATTCTCTTTTTATTGGCGTGTTTTAGGAGAAATGTGTGTGTGTGTGTGTGTGTGTGTGTGTGTGGGTGTGTGTGTGTGTGTTTGTGTGTTTTGTTTTTGTTTTTTGTTGTTTTTTTTTTTTTTTGTTTTTTTTTTAAAACATTTGTAATTCGCTCAAATATCTTGGAATACTCTTATTTTGATTGTAAAATATAAAATCAATGTGACAGTTTTACTATCCTTTTTTAATTTATTTATTTGTTTGTTTGTTTTATTTTAATCATTATTTTATTTTTATCTTGCAAAGAGTACCCGATTCTTTTAAGTATCCAAGATAAATTTAAAATTAATGCACGATAAATTAAAGTGATACCTGTTATATTTTCCAGCGGCACAGGGAATTCAGAAAAAAAGTATTTGATACCTACAAAAGTAAGAGAGAACTATTTTAGATTTAAATACGAAGAATACAATCAGTGTACATACACAAATGTCCAATGAAACAATAAAATTTGTGAGCAGAGCAAATATGGATCTCTGATAAAATTGAATAGTAAGCATCCCCTGTAGACCAATCAATACTGCAGTGTGCCCTTTGTTATGATCGACTAAACTGAGAAATTAATAGTCAATTCAGTATGAAAGTAATGACCTAACAATTTGTATGAAAGACGTTGGTCAACATTTGTTCTAATAACAGACTGCAGCTGTATTTACAAACAAGGTCATTGTATCAACCATTGCAAATGCCGAATGTTGACTTTAAATGAGATTGTTGATACCTTTGTACTATCAACTTGTTTGTCAGTAGCTTGTCTCGTTTTAGAAATTATTCTTACGGATAACATGCTCGTGGTATTAAAGCAACTTTAGACATAAACCCCGTTTGCAGGCGAAAATGGTTTATTGCTACATAAAAAGGGAAATGGCGTCATTACATTGATCATAAAATTTAGTTGTTAGTTTTTCATCAATACCTTTCTCCAGTAAAATATTCAAATATGAAGCACATGTGTCAGACACCATGTTGTCTTTAATTTCTAGCTAAATCGGATGTATCGGAAAAAAATATGAATCTTTGTATTAAAGAATACTTACAAAGACTAACATTGTGTTGAATCTGTGCAGGAAGAAGAGGCAAAAACCTGTTAACCATGCTTATTTTATCTTTGACGACACAAGTAGAGTTTGTTTTGTCACTGTCCTGTACCCTTGATATCATACAATGCCCAATACGCTGTTCTATTCTATATTTGAATGAGAGGATAAGAAGCTTTTAAACACTGGCATATTTAGGCGGATTAATTTCAAATTTGATATTCTTTTGAATATTAATGCCGATTATTTTAATTAACTTCAAACTTTTTTTTTTTTAAATCAGCCTTTAGGATAAGACTGAAAATAGAGAAGACAATCTTCCAAATGGTAAAAAAAACTTAATTAGTTACAGAAATCAGCATATATTTCTATTAGGGATGTCAATTTTATTCGGACAGCTTAGTCGAATAGTCGGAGGCTTTAGTCGAACGATAGTCGAATATTCGTTGAAATTTAAATTAATTTTTCATGTCATTTTCACTATTTGTCTTTTATACACAAGTGGTACAATGTTTAATCTACGCTATCACCATTATACAACGAATTTCTGAATCTTAAACATCTACGTAGTACAATAAATACTGTACATCTATATTTATCCAATTTATTTGATTTCAAAATTAATATGATATTTATTGCACATTTCATCTAAATGCAGGATATCAAACGCTCGCACTTGAAATGGGCGAATCCAAGTTTATTACCTTGAATTTAAAATTTCTTCTGGGTAACACATTTGAACGATTAACCGACTAAGGAAATTTTAGTCGATAGTCGGTATGATCGAACGATAGTCGAGTACTCGAATATTCGTTGACATCCCTAATTTCTATTGCAGTGTCCTTAGTATATGTTACTTTAATATTCGGATGGAACAACTTCACACAAACACTTAAGAAAATAAACACTGTTTATCATTTTAACATGTACATTTTGTCATATTAAGATGTATTTTGAATAAATACCGGCATAATTCATCTCCTGTTACATTCCTGAAGAATTGATTGTAACAAGGGATAGCAAAGTTAATCACCACAAAAGAATCACCTATCATACTGGGATCTCGACATGGTGAAAGAATGCCTGCAAAACATAACATTTTAATTTTATTTTGATAGATCATTTGACGATATTTAAGTTTTTTCCGCATGAGCCTCATTTTTAAAGATGGGAAGTCCTTCTTTCATGGTCAAATTTAGATGAATATATTGATAAAAATTTTAAGACTAATTCTGGTTGTAAATGATACATATAGTTTATATCCAATCTGTAAGATAACAAGAAATTGTAGACTTCCTTTGATATTCAAATATCTCTCTTTCTACTATCTCCCTAATAAATCGATACCCCTTTTTCAATTTAAAGGCCATTTTTTAAAAAAAAACTTTGAGAAAAAAAATATGTGGCTGGAGATTTTCATTTTACCTATATGAAATTTACTTCTTTTTAACTAACATTAGAAATGAATTTCTCTTTAAACTCTCATTCAGAGATGGACTTTTCTTTTAACTAGCGTTCAGAGAAAAGGGGGTAAACTTTTTTGTTAACATACATTGAGAGATGGACTTCCCTGTTAACTCTTCCAAAGTGCCCTTTATTTGCAGAGCAATAGATCGCCATGTAATCTGGGGACAACTGGAACCAGTGAGATTTTCAATATTCATCTTCAAACACGAAATTAGGTTTAATATATTGCTGGAAAATATGGAAATGACATTAATACAATGTTAAAAGGTTGTTTATGCAGTAAACAGGAAAAATAGTGTTAAAATAGTCACATTTAAAATTCTGGTGGAGAGTTATAGTACTCTTAAAAGACTTTTTCGGAACATATACATTCAAATCATTATGCAGTGGTTGTTTTCTTTAAATTAGCAATACACGTAATCAAGCCTGAATCCTCACAGACTGTCACCACAATTGAAGGATTTTGTTTCAAATACAAGATTACAACGCCATTATTACTGTAGCTCTGTTACTCTGATATTTTTATTTCATAATGTTTGATTAGAAGAATTTGCCTCAATATATATATATATATATATATATATATATATATATATATATATATATATATATATATATATATATATATATATATATATATATATATATATATATATATATATATATATATATATATATATATATATATATATTGTGTACGTTTAAATGACGCAACTTCACTATTTTATTGTTTATATACAAAGCACTGACCTACAGTATTCACTGACACTTGTGATACCAGAAACACACTGGCTACTTATTTCCTTGGTATAAAAAGACTGATTAAGACACGGTGTTCCTGAAAAAAAAATACAAAAAAATATTCTTACACTATAAAACTCAAGTAACATTAAAGCAGTTTTATCATCTTAGTACAAATTTACTGACCACATATTTTCACCCCACAGAGTTCCCAGCGGACATCAGAGTCATTGGTGAAACACCATGGCTCTTCTCTGTCGAAATTTCTACAGTAATTCTCTTGTGCAATGCTAAAAACATAATAATCGTGTTCATGTGGGCTCTGTGCATCCCATCTTTGACACGGTCTGCCAGTTTCTGTTACGTTTTTGGTGCCTTGATATAACACTCCTGGCAATCGACAGTCAGTTGACATAGATTCTGCTTTAATTGTTAAAGAATACAACTGTTTTAGCAAAAAAACGTTTTTGTTCATTGTACAACATTATGCGTTTAATGTCTAATTTTTTTTTTTAAATTCATAATAGAATAATAAAAAATATGTCGATATTTGCTTAACATTACCGAATATTCCTCAAATATCCTAAAATTACACTTGCTTTTTGTACAGTTTTTCTTGCAGTTAAGGTTTCAAGTGCTGTATGTACATGCAGAAAATTGACAGAGTCCTAGCCTCGTATGATAAAGAATACTGGCGCAAGTATTTATTGTATAAACATCTCTTTCCGATGCGCATTCTGCCACTTGTTTTTATTTTACCCTCACTGTGCTCTGATTTTCAGCAGAGTGGTTATTATGATCAAAATTTATTCATGCTTGTACTATGTATAAAGCAATATTTTGAATCCCGCGGTGATACATGTAAATATTCCTTAAATCTCTCTTTCTTTTATGATTCAGCATAGATTTTATGATCTCCTCTTTATGAAAAATATATATGCTGATATTTCTCAAACCGAGACAATATAAAAATAAAACTGGCCTGCACTTTAATACATATTACATTTGGAAAAAATAAAATATAGCAACGGTTGACTTCAAAGTACTACATATTATACTCACACTAGTATTTATGTCGCTTAATTTCATAAATAATTGCAGATACTTAAAGAATCCCTGGGGATGATTATTTTCACAAGTAAAACAGGTAAGTGTTTTTGTAATACAATGTCAGTAAGTTTTTTTTTCCTTTTACCTAGGTATCTAGGACCAAAAGAAAGGAAAAAAAAAAACGACAAAAGCAAACGAAGAGTTGATATCATTCATACAATAATAATTATATTAATCATCATCATTATTATTATTCATAATCATCATTATTTTAAATGAATAAACAAACAATTATTAGATATTAAGACTTTTAAAAAATATAAAATACAAAACTATTTCAGGCAATTGTGCTGATTATCGTAAATCGAGGACTTTCATATCATTCCTCAGATATTTCCTTTTCTGAATATTAATGGTCTGACTTTTAAAAATTAAATAAGAAGAAGACATTTAACATTCAAATTACATTTGGAAAAAGTTTTATTAACAGGATATAAATTTTTTGACTGTTATACTGACAAGTTAAATTACCTGTAACGGAATTTAAAAAAATTCCAAGGAGCAAGCAAAATATTGTCATTTTAGTTTTGTTCCATTCCAGCTAGAGTTAAACTCCATCAAAAGGAAGACATATTGATAAGCTGAACATTCTCAATACAGGATGTCACTTCCTTTCTTTGTATACACGTATAATATTGAGGAAAGAGGAGTCATGTTAGTGATCTATTAATATTTCCTATATCTATTTTTTTTTAGTACTGAATGTTATATTTTTCAGGTATACCTTTAAAGTAATATTCGATTTGTTAGAATTTTAAAGAGAGCTTTGGTACCTCTGAGACATCCAATGTCATGAACCCTAAAACTTAAAAAAGAAGAAAAAACAAAGAAAAAAGAAGTGTTACAAAAATAAACTCTGAAGTAATGTTAGGAAATTTGAAATAGATGCAATTATATATATATATATATATATATATATATATATATATATATATATATATATATATATATATATATATATATATATATATATATATATATATATCAAGGATATATTATACAATTATGGACTCTTTCGGTGGTGAATATGGTTTGTTATTCACCAGAAAAATATCAATATTGACCTCGGCTTCGCCTCGGTCAATATTGATATTTTTCTGGTGAATAACAAACCATATTCACCACCGAAAGAGTCCATAATTGTTTTATTATATAGTCATGATTTGAATAAGTAAGACATTGAAGGCTGAATGATGAAACCACTTCCATTTACGAACTTCTGTCGTAGAAAAATTAAAAAAATGTCCAGATTACAAATTATAACTTCCGTGTTTTCCTTTTGCTGTATGTTAGACATCGTTATGTTTAGAAAATAATCCTGCGATAGGCTTGGCTTATGTTTTTCCTGCTCAGACACACAGCTGGCTCCGGCCGTTGCAACCATTGTTTACAACGTTGTTTGAGGTGTTGATGGTGACGTCACAATGCCGCTGCACGCGCACCGACCCTCCGGTGAATACGGCTTCAAAACCAGTGAATATGTAGTGTTATGAACTGTTTTCGTTTGTATAGATTATATAGAGACTATAAATAGACTATGTAATAATGTAATATATTAATATATTTTAAGTTGCAAGTACAAGTCAAACTATTTTTGAATAGTCTGTAATACTATTCAAAAAATATATGTAAAACAGTTTTCGAAATATTTGAGATCGTATAGGTACCTGTAATGAACATTTACGTTGTCTTTTTTAAATGATTATGGTTATTTTGCTATAAATTTTAATAACTACAAATTAGGAAAAACGACCGCCTTCTTTGTAAAAAAAAAAAAAACCTTCTTTCTGTAACATGACAATTTTCAGTATCCTTAGATTGTAGAATGCCCTAAAGGGAAAATACAAATTATTTTTGAAGCTAGCAATTTTATAAAAGTAACACGGTTATTTATCAAATTGATAACTATTTCTTACACCAAAATTTCAATTCTGCTAATGTTAATATTTATTACCTCTTTTCAAAATATATAAAAAAATATTTCCCTTTTATGACATTCTAAATTTGCTTGAATGGAAAAATTTAGACATATTATTGTTGAAGATAACACTTAAATAAGGAAATATGTTTTTTTGTATCAATTTGATAAATATTTCTTACATAAAAAATCCAGTTCTTCTAATGATGATATTTGGTACCTCAATTCAAAGTTGATTTTTGGGTCCATTTATTTTCCTCGCATGGGGGGGGGGGGGGCATTGGTTCACAGAACTCCTCTTACATTTTACGTAGTAGCCTAATAATCTTTCGGAAGATGTTTGGTGTCCTGTGTATGTATGTATATGTTATAAGGTTTCGGAATTTTCATTTTCACCCTGGGGGTCAAATGGGTGTCAAAAAAATGTATTTTATACAAAAATCCCCTGGTTCCCAGAACTCCTCTTACATTATACGTTGTACCCTAATCATCTTTTGGAAGATTATTGGCGGTGTCCTGTAGAAGTGCAATAAGGTTTCGGAGTTTTCATTTTCACCCTGGGGGTTAAATCAGGGTCGAAAAAGGACGTTTTTATACAAACAAAAACTTGGTCCCCAGAACTCCTCTTACATTTTATGTATTAGCCTGATCATATTTTGAAAGATAATTGGTGGTGTCCTGTAGATGTGTAATAAGGTCTTGGGATTTTCATTTTCACCCTAGGGGTCAAATGGGGGTCGAAAAATGGCGTTTTTATACAAAAAAAAACCTGGTTCCCAGAATTTCATCTACATAATTTCTAGGTTATCTCTAAGTTTAATATATAGTTCGAGATAACAAGGTTTAACTCTACTTATTTTAGTAACCATGGCAACACTGTTCAAGGAAATCAAAAACAGATAAACAGAATTGTGTATCTTAGTATAGTCTACTTGTGCAGTTGTATTGATATTGGATCAAAACTGTAGGAGGAGTAGTGTTTTGAAAGAACAATCTTGATTCTACACTATGCTCGGCTGTGTTAAGGAAGGCTTGGGTTCACATCCGTGGTGCACCGCATGGGAAGTCTGTGACGTCATAAAAATTTAACAAGCGACAAAAATCAATTTAACCACATGATGTTGCGTAAATACGAGGGTTGTCCATAAAATTAAAGTTCGCGGACAAATGCTATAATTTCCTTAATAACGTCCGCACTGGCAAACATGTACGATAATATAATAATATAGACCATGATTTAGTAAATACATAAAAAATTAAACAATGAATATTTTACGAATGTTATAGGTGTGAATTTTTATCACATGTTATTGGACATACGCTGCAATTTCTTTATTATTCTACACTGCCAAGTGTTTGCAATAATATTTATGTATAGACCATTATTTATTTAATTTTTAAAATTCAAAACAATACTCGATAATTTACGAGCGTCATCAGAATAAACACTTCGTATACACAGGCTGCACAGTCCAGTCCGACATTGCGCTAGATTTATAACAACGTCATCAATAGGGACATCCTATTTTCGTCAAAAACAGTGGTTATACACTTCTTGTAGTGTCTCCGAAAATTGTATACACCGTTGAAAAATCGTATATACTATTTTCAAATCAATGAACTAAATATATTCCAATAATTTCAAGTAGACTGAATTAACATTTTGTCTCTGACGCAGGTTCAACCAAATTAAAATGTCATTTTATGATTAGACATTGTTCCGTTCGGATGACCGAAGTCGCTTTTTCTGTCTATTTTTGAAACATTCTTTGCGGTTTTTATTTACATTGTAGTAATTTCACGGTCTGTATAGTAGGCGATACTAGAGATATCAGAAATTGACGATAGTTGCTTTATTTTTGACACATTTAATTTTTATAATGCTTTGATTTGTTTTATAAAGAAATTAATCATTTTAATCAGAACACTTTATTTAAAAAATGGCACTTTATTTAAAAAAATGGCATTTTTAACCCTGGGCCATGCGCACTATCTGCGACCTAAAAAGACCGCGATTTTACAAAAATATTAAGTTACTAAACTATTCTATTTTCATAACAAATATTTTGATATACAATACATGTAAATATATCTGAACCATTCATTTTGACTAAAACGTCATTGCCCATGAACTTTATGCACTATCCTCGTAGCAACTTAATTCATTTATTTTATCAATTCTTTTTTTTTTTTTTTTTTTAATAAAATTTTGTAAAATTACAAGATTATAAATGACCTCACCAGCCTTGACATGAAGCAGTACAAGTGACCCAGAGGAGTAAATTCACTGATTTAATAATTACAAAAATGCTTAAATAAATATGAAACCATCGCCATTTTTTTTTAAAAATCTAATCATTAAAACTAAAAGACAATAATTTATTTAAAACAA